CACTTCAGGACACCCTTCACCACTTCAGGATGCAGACCTGTCTCTTATACACATCTAGATGTGTATAAGAGACAGCACACACACACACACACACACAGAGAGTTGTGGGGAAATCCTATAATACACACACTCACACAGGTGGAAATCCAAAACACACACACACACACACACACACACACACACACACACACACAGATACAACATCCTGCCAGAAAAGAGCAATGCAAACAGCAATAAACCAAGTTGTGAGTCTTGCGACATTTCATAGAGAACCAGACATAATTGAGTCGAAATTGAAAGCAGAAATCAAAGTGAGTTATACACCAAATAGGAACGAGTCAATTTTGCAGGGCCGCCTTCACTTAGGGCAGGCGGGGCCTTTCCTGGCTGACCAAGGTGCTGAATTCTTGCAATCCAGTTATTAGATGCCTTGTATGCCTCCGAGGCCTTTGCACACCTCACTTAAATAATTGTGAGCATGTCAGCTTTCCTTTTGGCATGCCAACAAATGCTGTGTGTCGCTGATGTTTCCATGAAGCGTTCACAGAGAGTATGTCTCTCTGCTGCATGGACCACTGCCCCCCTGCTGTCACCATCAGCAGTACCCTCTTCGCACACGTCACATGCAATGGTGGACTTCCTCCGGCTACATGTGATGCAACCTCTGGTTGCACCTATGATGGGACCTCCTCCATTGTGAACAACTAAAGAACTGATACAACACTCAGGTGGAAAACAGACTATCACCCCCAGGGCCAGCAAGCACCTCGAAGGGGAACATGATTGAAGGCGTAGATGGAAATAAAATGGGCCCTTACTTTTCCATTTTCTGGAACGCCGTCAGACGACCCAGCACTGGTGCAGGAATGAAAATGATTTGAAATTTTGAACCTTCTCTTCTCCTCCCTGATGCTTTTTGGAACTTGAAATGCGAATGGATTGTGGATCCGAATGTGGTCTGCAGGTTATTTTGCGCCAAGAACCCTATCGTTCAACATTTTTAACTGGAATTTTCCGCAAAGATTGATGCTGGTGCTACCCCGACGAGGAGGTGAGATCACATCCATTCTCCCCCGCATTTTCTAAATAGCTGTCCTTCTGCATTTGTGTCTTTCCTGTTGACTTTTATTGTTTTCAATTTAGTTTCGCTAACTTTCCAGCTCTTGAACCGGTATGGATTTAGTCTCATGACCTTCAACGACTTGAACTGACTTTGTTCAGACTCTTCATGTATAGTCTCTGATGATCCTACCTATGCATATGTTGGTTCCCTGCGGATTATCCATTGCATATTTTTTTTAATTGAATTCAATGACTAGGTTAGGACTTTCCCGCATATAGTGAGGGGGAGGAGCGTGAGTGAACAGTGATCACATAATGTAATCCCTTCTGACTTGCCGGTGGAATAGGAACCGGACTGATGCTCCCCATAATGGAAAAGGAGCCTGAACCGTAAGGTTCTGTTTTTCCACCCCGAAAAAAAAAGAAAAAAGGTTAGGACTTTCCCGCATATAGTGAATGGATTTACTATTTACAATTTAGCTTCTTTTTTTTGGGGGGGTGTGTCAATGGCGTGAAGCAGTACGTCATGGAAAGTTGAGGTAGCCAGTCAAATGGCTACAGCTGCAGCAACTTGATCCAGTATATGGGTTTGTTCTACTGCATTAGAGACAAGCGATACTAACAGTGCACTTCATGTATGAAAAGCCTAGCACATTATTTGAGGCTCACGGAGGACACAATGTGCCAAAAACAAAACTGAAGCATCCACAAGGACGCTCCAGCATTGCTGTTCTGCCTCTTCCACAAAAGGTTAGCGCAGAATGTGAGGCTCTACTCTCGCAGAGGACAAAACATGCGGAAAAAAAGACAGAAGCATCCACACAAGGACGCTGCAGCATCGCGCTTCTGCCTTTTCCACTCAGGCTAGTTGACTCCACACTGTCCACAGAAACCTATGTGATACTAACAGGTTGTAGCCATAGATTCTTCAGATCAACTGTGGTGATGATATAGTGTGGTTCCATTCTAGTTGAGTCCCACAGAAACCTATGTGATGACCGGTTGTGCTTTTGCCGTCCGTTTGTCCGTCTCCAGTTGTATGCTTGATTGGCAGACCAAGGTGCACGGGCAGGACCCTGACTACCGTCTTTCCTCGAACACAATCCACCCTTATCAGGACTGCAGTGAACCAGACGGTAGCTTGTAGACATGCATGATAAGTTTCACTGCTGATCGGAGTAGAGCTCGTTTACTTGGTGCGTACTTTACATTTGATGATATCGAATTTCTGCAAGCTTCCTACAAGCACTGGTAGAATCCAGAAACTTCTCAGGGCCGCACCTTTCATTGCTTTTCATTGCTTTTCATTGCTTTTCATTGCTTTTCATTGCTTTTCATTGATTTTCATTGCTTTTCATTGCTTTTTCACCGATTGATGTTTTTCCTCTTTTTGAAGACACCAACCAGCACGGAATTCGAACCATTGAACCTTGGTTACCTCCAGGAGTCGAATTCTAGACCAACAGAGGCTGCCTTGACCTGGAATTGGTTTGGGATGTACGAAGCGCTTATATATTTTGATGTTTTATTGGAAATCTGTTATTCACCAGTAGGCTTTGAGCAGAGCTCCCGCAATGAAATGAAAAGGAATGAGCTGTGTAAAAGTTGTACTCCTGATATTCCGATCCTTTTCAGCACCAACCAGCCAGCAATTGCCGATAGATATGGCACATGATTTGAGGGAAGGAGGGTGAAAGACTATGTAATGGGTCAGCAAGTTTGTGCTGTTGTGTGTGCGTTACCTGTATACAATGCGATTCTGTTATTCAAGATGTATCTACTGCACTAGAAATTCTCTCTTCCTTTCTTCGGGAACGTTCTAGATGATGTGGTTGATTACCTTCCTGTTGCATGTGACGGTATTGTTCTGGGTGTGCCTCACAAAAGAATAGCCATTTAGTTAAAACTGACATTTGTTTGAGATTTCACGAAATTGGGTTTTTTGAAAGGGTTCGCATACCTCAGCACCCCTGGTTCAGTCCCGAGTCCCAAGTCCCAGTCCTGACTCCGAGGTCCCAGTCCCGAGTCTCAGGTTCCAGTCCTGAGTCCCAGGACCTATCGCAAGTCCCATTCCGTGTTCCATGAGTGGCTCCAGCCACTTGTACAATATTCTCGAACACTCCGGAAGAGTAGTTTTCGTTTGTACCAGGACTATGGATTCCTAGGCAGGTTAGTTAAGTAGATCGTGGTAGGAAGGCCCTGCTAGATAACAGTTATGGGTTAAGGAGTCTACTTTTAGAAGTTACAATGAGCATCAGTGAAGATCAGAAAGGTTGTTAGGCCAGGTGTCAGTCAGTCTGGCCAAGCAGCCAGGTCCAAGAAGAATCCGTAAGCTTTCAGAAGCAGCAAAGAAGGAAAGGGGAGCCAAACCATAACTGGCAGACGCTTCCTGGACAGCGAAACAGCAAGTATAAAAGCTCATCAGCACCTCGACATCAACACCGTGTGTCGGGCACTCAATGCGGAAGCACTGGTGCGGTCTTGTGCGTTGAAGAGGTGACCAAGTCAGTGGGAGTGAGCGTAGTGCAGTGTAGTCAACAGTGTTCGGCGCCATAGCCATAGTTGTAGTGGGAGAGAGAGGAAGACATTCTGAGAGATGGGCGAGCTGTGAGGTGAGAGTGAGAGCAAAAAGCGAGAAGAGAGAGGGAGACTTACCTGCATTATGAGTTGATTGGCTGTAGCCGCTGGCGACGAAGAAGAGATCAAGTTTGTGTGGATTTCGGAGACTCTTTTGGAAGCTGTGTGTCTCACCGCAATGCGGTGTGATGTGTAATTCGTGCCTGAGTGTGCCATGCATGGTGGTCTCATTGCATTCGCAAAAAGGCCAATATTTTTAGCATTTTTGTGTCCTCAGCGGACAGTGCTGTCCAAGTACGTCAGAGAATGCAAAAACAAGAAAAACAATTCCAGGTACATCATAAATCATCAGATGGTGTCCTTCGGGACATCCGTTAAAATTGGAACAGCACAGAGAAGATTAGCATGGCCCCTGTGCAAGGATGACACGCATAAATCGAGAAATGGTTAAAAAAAATAATAATAAAAAAAATCATCAGATGGTAATATGGTATGGCATCTTCAAGAAGCCATACCATCAATGGTACGGCGCTTTGGAGACGCAAAAATGCTAAAAGACAACAGGAGGCAGTGGGGTATGTCTTCTGGTCTATTGTCTGTGCACATATCACATACTTCGGAGCTTTCAGGATCCCTATGTTTCCTCCTCTTGTGGAGCCATTGATTGACGTGCAAAGATGCGTGGACTATGAGCCACTGCATGCTTCGGATCCTAACCAGCCTGATGGGCAGGTACTTCGTCCAGGGGATGGAAATGTGGTCCGTAGGTTCTAGGTTCAGGATCTCCCTCCATTTTTCTTTGAGGCTGGGATCCGGGTCTGTGGTCTGTAGTCCTAAGTTGTATCCGAATTCTACATCGTATTCGAATATCGTTCTCATTCTCCCGGATTTTCCCTGTTTCCATATCCACTCTTTGGGGTCGAATTCAAGGTCCGAAATGCTGAGATCAGGTTGGAAGATTATCCAGGGTTTGGCTTTTGGGACCCTCACTTTCCTCAGTCGGTAGGATTCTAGCACCTCACGCTGGGGTTCTTTGTTCAAAATTTCCAACTCTTGTAGGTTGTGGTTAGTGATCGGGTAGGAGAAGAATTTGAAGAGGTAGCTTGGTGCGTTGGTTCGAGAGACGAATCGGTAAGCTCTGCTAGACTGGGTCTGGGAAATGAGTACGCCCTAGTCCCCAGATTTCCACGAGAAGTCCTCCCTTAGGAGGGAGAGCCACTGTGTTGGGATGCTCTTCTGAATCTGTGATAAATTTTCTGTGAGGGCATGGCAGCCTTTTAACTCATTTCGGAGCTCCTGTTCGGTTGACCATTGTCTTCGTTCGTCTGCCCAAATGTGTTTCACCAGCCATACCCCTTTTTCCACCCAGGATAGTCATCTCCTGTCTTTTGAGCGTAGTACCCAGGATGAGCCACTCGAAAAGAATGTCAGTTTTAAGTTTTAAAAATGGATCTTTCAACCACAACTGCATGGCTCCAGCCTTGCAGTCCGAAACTGGTTGCCACAAGAAAATGAGGCCGCAACGTCAAACGCTGGGGCCTGCCGTTGATAAATTCGATCGGCGATCGCGTTTTCGTTTCGGGCCTCCAGAATTTGAGGTGTCAGGCCCGCGGCCCAGGTGCCCATTGTACTGGTGGCTCAATCGGTATTGTCCTGGATGGATCATGTGCAACTGATCAACAATTTACGTTGGCTGATTCATTGCCGTTCGCAATATCTGGTTTCCGAATTACGACCTGAAGGGCAGGGTCGTAGTGCATTGCACCCGAAGTGCCACAATTCAGTTCATTAAAGACTTCTGTGTAAACGGACCTATGAGCGACTCATTAGAATGTACAATGTGCATTAAATAATTTAAATTTCCATCATTTATACTCCAATGTTCATGCCCAGACAACGTCAGTGGGGAAGGGCTGGTGGAGGAGGAGGAGGAGGAGGAGGAGGAGATCGAGGAGGAAGAGAACAGGGTGGAGGAGGAGGAGGAGGAGCAGGAGGAAGAGGAAGAGGAAGTATAGTGGTGATCACTCGGAGCTCTGAATTCAGTCTATAAGGACACCTTACATGAAGCATTTCATTTCACAGAATATGCACATTCTTCACTGCTGATGAGTGCAAGTGCCCTTACATTTTGAAAAATAAAATAAAAACACTCCGTTCTATTCATGGGGAGCAGCACGTGCTGGGAAGCGGACCCAGCACCCCTTATAATAAGATTACAATAATGAACATTTAATAATACTCTTGACGATACTGAAGCCCGTACATCACTCTTCGGACATGTAAAGAGAACTTCAACATCCAAATGGAGCCCGCAGAGAGGATTGGAGGCCGAACTTTGTGAAGAAATTATTGAATTCGGATTTCTTTGCATGTGTCTGTGCACTGTGCAGGATATTTTGACAAAGCCAGCATAATTCATCATTATTTTATGTCCAATGACCCTGCCTTTGAGGTCAGGCTTGAAGGGCGCGTGAATTCAATGGACGTTGGTAATTCATTTATTTTTTCCCTAGCCTTCATCAAATCAATTGTAAATCAGTATCCTTTGGGTCGTCTGCCAGAACTGAAATGATACAGAGAGAATCGCAATACAAACAACTTTTGGCTTAGGGTCACATCAGAATTCCTCACCGAATCAGAGATAAAAATGAAAATAACAAAATCACACTAAGGCGGCCCTTTAAAGTTTAAACCCCCTTAGCCCCTTCAAAATTAATTTATACCCCCTTCCCCCCCCCCTTGACAGCCAACTCTCAAAAAATGAAAAGAGCCCGGATTTGGGGTCCTCTGGGAGAGCGCAGAAAGTTCTTTTTTTTTTCTTTTTTTTTTTTCTTTTTTTTTTTTGCATGCCCGGGTACCCTGGGCGTCAGACCCCCCCAGGCAGGCCCGGTCGGGCATGAAAATCTTCCTAGCATGGACCTTTTTTTTCCTTTTCTTTTTTCTTTTGACATGGACCCTGGACAAGGGTGACAAACAACTCTAGAAATGCACCGAAGCAAAGAAAATGGGGTCAAAAGCGATTGAAAAACCATGATTATTTCAATGAAAATTATTCTCAATATAGCTGTAGGACTTCTGAATGTCATAGAGCACTTCAAAGGGGTAACAGAAATTAAAAGCATTGAGAGAGGACTGAGCGATGGATGACAAGCTAAATCTTTGGCAAGGGGGGGATGGGGAGGCAGTGTGGAGTGGGAACCTGTTCCCCCCTTCTGCAGAGAATAAAGGGGGTCTTTGCAGGTTCACAAGACCCAGAACGCTCGAACGGATTGTTTGCGGCATAGCGAGGTCAGATGACTATGGGTCTCTCTCAGTTATAGTGGGGCACTGTAGAGCTCCAACCCCAACCCCAAACAAAGACCCCGTCAGATATTCAAGCTCATCAGTTTCTACCTTACTATTTTGTTTCCTGTGATGACCCGTCCAAACATGGACTGAAACACACGACTGATTTCTGAGTTTTGCCCATAGACTGAATGCCTTGCTGAGTTCCCCGCCTGCTACTAAGTCTGTGTGTGCACGCTTGCTGGACTGCATGTCTGTCTGAGTGCTGGTTGGCTTGAGTGTGTGTGTGGCCGTGCCTGTCTGAGTCCTGGTTGGCTTGAGTGTGTGTGTGGCCGTGCCTATCTGAATGCTGGTTGGCTTGAGTGTGTGTGGGGCCCGCAAGGGCACTTGCTCGTTCATTGGGCCCTCAGGCCCGGTACTTACCTGTGGCCGTGACAATGAGGGATTGCAGCAGGAAAAACACTCAAGTAGCCGGTAGGCCGGTACCGCACCCTGAAGAGGTAGATGTGCGGGTACTGGAGGCCGAGCAGAAGAAGACAAAAGTGGCATTTTTAGAGGCCCAGTAGTT